ACCCCAAAATCGGGGGAGGACACCCCAAAAAACAGGAGGGTCACCCGAAAAATGGGGAAGGAGCCCCCAAAATCGGGGGGACACAGCCCAAAATATGGGAGGGTCACCCCAAAATATGGGGGGGGGACACACCCCAAAATCGGGGAGGACACTCCCCAAAATATGGGAGGACACCCCAAAAAACAAGAGGGTCACCCCAAAATCGTGGGGGACACCCCAAAATATGGGAAGGTCACCCCAAAATATGGGGGGACACCCCAAAAAACAGGAAGGTCACCCCAAAATCGTGGGGGACACCCCAAAATGTGGGGGGACCCCCCAAAATCAGGGGGATCACCCTAAAATCTAGAGGGCACCCCAAATTCGGAGGAAATCACCCCAAATTCAGAGGGGATCACCCCAAAGTCGGGGGGGACACCCTAAAATTTGGGGGGGATCACTCCAAAAACTGGGGAGATCACCCCAAAAATGGAGTGGTTACATCAAAAATTGGGGATTAACCCCCCACCCCGGATCCCTCCAGGACCCGCACTGGGGTTACTGGGAGAACTGGGAGGCGTTAAAGGAGCACTGGGGGGTTACTGGGAGAACTGGGGGGTACTGGTGTCACTGGTGGGGCTTTGTCACTGGTCAGGGTCACTGGTGTCACTGGTGTTACTGGTGTCACTGCTCAGGGTCACTGGTGTCACTGGTGTCACTGGTGTTACTGGTCAGTGTCACTGGTGTTAATGGTGTCACTGGTGTTACTGGTCAGTGTCCCTGGTCGGTGTCACTGGCATTACTGGTGTCACTGGTGTCACTGGTGTCACTGGTCAGCGTCCCTGGTCAGTGTCACTGGTGTCACTGGTGTTACTGGTGTCACTGGTGTTACTGGTCAGCGTCCCTGGTTGGTGTCACTGGTGTCACTGGTCAGTGTCCCTGGTCGGTGTCACTGGTGTCACTGGTATTACTGGTGTCCCTGCTGTCACTGGTGGGGCTTTGTCACTGGTCAGGGTCCCTGGTGTCCCTGGTCGGTGTCAGTGATGTCACTGGTCAGTGTCCCCAGTGTCCCCGCTGTCCCCGGTCGGTGTCCCCGCTCGGTGTCCCCGCTGTCCCCGCTCGGTGTCCCCGCTGTCCCCGGTCGGTGTCCCCTCTGTCCCCTGTCGGTGTCCCCAGTCGGTGTCCCCGGTCGGTGTCCCCGGTCGGTGTCCCTGCTGTCCCCGCTGTCCCCTGTCGGTGTCCCCGCTGTCCCCAGTCGGTGTCCCCGGTCGGTGTCCCCGGTCGGTGTCCCCGCTGTCCCCGCTGTCCCCTCTGTCACCTCGATGTTGATGAACACGCTCTCCATGTCCCGCGGCTCCAGGAAATGCCGCAGCGGCCGCAGGAAGTGCTGGGGGGGGAACTGGGATTACTGGGAGCACTGGGAGGGGCTGCGGCCCCACGACCCTGTCCCTGTGTCCCTGTCCCTGTGTCCCATCGCCGTGTCCCTGTGTCCCTGTCCCCGTGTCCCTGTCCCTGTGTCCCTGTCCCATCCCTGTGTCCCTGTCCCATCCCTGTGTCCCTGTCCCTGTCCCATCCCTGTGTCCCTG